TAAAATTCTGGAAAAAATTCGCCAGCATTTCGCTGCTTTTTGGACGTTTAGAAAGAAAAAGAAAAAGAATAAGAAGAAGAAGAAGAAGAAGAAGAAGAAGAAGAAGAATGGAAATCAGAAGTTCAGAACATACCTGTTGAAGTCTTGAAGTCTTGAATTTGAAGTTGAAGAAGAAGAAGAACAACCCTAGTTGATGATTTGAGATTCTTTCAGAAATCAGAAGTGATGAAGAAGAAGTCGCTGCTTTTGGAAGTTGAAGAATACTAGTCGCTGTTGTTGAAGATCAGTGTTTAATCCAAAAAACTTGTTTTTAATAAAATAGGGTTGGGTATTTTAATACAGAGAAGCGGACGCTTCTTCTCTTCTCTTCGCTTTCCCCGCTTCTCGCTTTTTACAGAGAAGCGGTCGCTTTTACTGACCTGAGTCGCTTCAGCAAGCTGAAGCGCTGCCTTTCACGCTTCGCCTCGCTTCTCGCTTAAAGCGATGAAGCGAGCGCTTTTCTAAACACTGCTCACAAGGTAGGGGTAAGATCTGCGTACACACTACCCTCCCCAGACCCCACGGTGTGGGATAATACTGGGTATGTTGTTGTTGTTGGTAGCATTAAGACGTTTTATTTTGCTGAGAGTCTGATAATATAGTGCCCTCAGTCAATTTATGTTCATGTACCATAGAACAAAGGAAGTAACTCTTTTTGCTTTGTAGGAACAGTGTAAAAAGCTGTTTACAGAATGATCTTCCAGATGCTGTCGTTTTGATAGTTTGTGGTCATTGAGTTTTACCTTAAGTTCTGAATGATGTTAGATTATTTGAGATTGATTCGTTCATTAGTGTTCTTTGTCAATGACAAATTATATTGGTGTTGTTTAGAGTATATTACTCCTGGACACAGAATTCTTAGACTTCTTACGTTGTAATCGGCAGGAAATGTTTGAAAGCTGTAAACGTGATATAACCGTTGCTATGATGAGGAATTATCCACAGCTTCTTCGCAAATTTATGTCTGACAAAGCAAAAATTCCTTATCTACTTGAAATCATTGTTCATATGAACCTTGAGATCTATTCTCTTAAAAGACAAGATCAGGTGTGTTTGAGGAACTTTTTACGATCATGAATTGTGTAGGGGATTGCCAATATGAAGTAACTTGTTTTCTTTTTCTTTTCCAGAATTTTAAATCTGCTGTCCTTCTGATGAAAGAGGCATTTTTTAAGCATGGTGAGAAGGAAGCTCTGAGATCTTGTGTAAAAGCTGTGGGCTTCTGTGCCACTGAGAGTCGAGGGGAGTTACAAGACTTTGCCCTTAACAAATTAAAGGAGATTGAGGATGAGCTCATTGTCAAACTTAAATCTGCAATAAAAGAAGTTGCGGTATGTGCTCAATTGCTATTCTATGTGTTCTATTGTGCATTTCGGATAAATCTACAAGCTTTGTTGTTGCAGGATGGTGATGATGAATATTCACTGCTTGTTAATTTGAAAAGATTGTATGAACTTCAATTGTCAAGGCAAATTTCCATTGAAAGCTTGTATAAAGATTTTGCGGAGACTCTTAAAGACTTCAGAAGTATTGATGACGAGGTGGCTGTTTTTGTTTGAATATTTTTTTTTTTTTGCGATCTTTCCAATACACAACTGCTTTGGCTTACTGTTCAGGTAATTGGATTTCTGCTTCTTAACATGCATCTGCATGCTTGCTGGTGCCTACACTCTATCATAAACTGTGACACAGTCCCGGAGCAATCAGTGTCTTCCTTAATCTCCAAGCGCAGTACCTTGTTTAAACTACTTGAGTCCTTCCTGACTACTGAATCTATGGAAGGTCTTCGTGCAAATCATCTTGCATGTAGGGTAAGCATTGTTTCTCAAATATCCACATCCGACCATTTGTAATTTCCAAACATCTATGTTCAGCTATCTCCTATTAGTGCCTTTGTTCTCTTTTGGTTAATTTGAGTTTTTGTGTTTTCTTGGTCCAGGTTTGTGTTATTCTTTCAGAACAATGGTGTCTGTTTAGGAAAGCAACCTTTGCTTCCACGGAGCTAGAAGCTTTGGGGTACTCTCCAGATGAATTCATTCTTCAAAAGTTCTGGAAGCTTGGTGAACACCAACTACATATTTCAGGTGGTCTTAACTTGCTCATTCGCTGTTTGCTCTAAAGGCGTGACAGCTCTAGCTCACATCTTACTGTTGTATAAAGAAATAATAGTACGGCTCTAACACTATTGTTTTATTTATAACTGTAGAAAAGCTTGATTCTAGAGCAATCGTACTTCATATTGCAGCACTTTTAGTTATAAAAGAAAACTGGAATTGGAATTGGCAAGCCATGTAGTGCTGATCTGTACTTGCTTGTTTAGGTGGCCACTAAAGCCCTATGGCTAAGTTTAATAGTTTCAATTTTAGATAAATCTTGCTTTTGGATGTAAACTAATCATCATTATTATGGTTACTATGGAAACACTTCGGTGCTTGAGTAGTCACATGAACTTGAGTGCCAAATGTATACTTTTCCTGAAGTCGTTCATTTCCTCATGCTATATCTTAATTGAAAGAACGTGTTGTTGTGCATTGATTTTTATATTTGTTTACTTCATGCTGTGGAGCCTGATTTCTAAAAGGAGACCTTTTTATCCATCCTTATTGTAGCATTACTTCCTAGATGAGGATTCTAGCCTTCTTTGTTTGATGGAAAGGGATCATTAAGAAACTAGTACACTTCGCTCCCAACATAACCAAATACAGCAGGAAAAGAAATGTTTTACTTTCCTTTTTGCATTGTATGTACTCTTACATCATGAAGCAGTGAATACACGTGCAGAACTGTTATTTATATAACGTAAAAAAAGATGCAGCAAAAAGCTTGAGCACGTAATCTATAAGCAGAATATCATCAATATACCTTCGAGTAGTGGTGCAAACATAGATCTCCACTGTCCATTCAGAGGTGTCAATGAAAGGATAACAATCTTTTCAACTGAACCAAAAAAAGTGTTTTCAATTTCCAAAACAGCCTCCAACATAACCTATCGATTCAAACCCGGAAAGGGTTTCTTTTTTCACCTGATGGATGCTTTGGAGAATTTAATTCATCTTCTAACATGGACACAGATGAGACTGAAGAAGATGATTATAATAGGGAATACATTGAGGAGACAAATCGAGTTGCTGTAATCATTGCTGTGGCGAAGTTGGTTGCTGTTGAGGCAGTTCCTAAGGTTAGGTTGATTCTCTTTTCATAGTTGGACTGTGCCGAACTTAATTACTATCTGTACTTTTGGGATTAGGAGCCTTACCATTAATTTTCTTTATCAGCTGCTGACATATTTCATCAATGTACACAATGTCTACAGGAATATCTTGCTCCAGAGATAGTATCTCATTTTGCGATGCATGGAACAAGTGTGTCTGAGGTCATTAAGCATTTGCTAACCGTTTTAAGGAATAAAGGTGCAGATGTTGCACGTTTGTTCCTAGAGGCACTAAAGAGGGTAAGTGTCGTTACTTCTTAGCTGAGATGATTTCCGTTTTATTTTGGTCACTTGGCAGGTTGGCTTACTGGTAAACATTCTGATGAGATTGCAGCAGAAAAAAATTATTTCAAAATTGGATAATCATATGGTTGAACAGTTTGGTCTGACTGGGTTGTTGTCGGTGTATATCTTTCATGTTATTGGGGTGTGTCTGAGTTGGTCGTGGTTATGATCCCTAGAGCTAGGATGAACAAATCTCATGCTTTTAAAAAAGATGCATGTCTATGTCCTTGTCTGCTGTTGTGGTGGCCTTTCTCCTGGCAGTTTATTGGTTATTTTGGGTGGCTTTCAACACTTTAACTCAGCTAGCCACATGATTCAGAGTATTTGGAAAGAATACATGTTAGATTCTTTGTTTGGAAAGAAAGTATACATGTTAGATTCAGAAAGGAAGCAAGGTCGTAACTTGGCAGCAAATTAGTTTTTTTTCCCCTCATTGAGTGGTTGAGCATGTCTGTTCCGGTTCTGCAGGCATATCAACGGTACTTAGTGGCACTTTCTTCTGATGATGACAATTCAGCAAGAAGGACATTTCAAGAATGTGAAGATCTTGCGAGTGAGCTTGCTAAAACATTTGGAAAGGCTGCTAAAAACAAGCACCGGTCAGATGTTCTAAATATTGTCACAGGAGGCATTCAATATGCCTTTTCAGATGCTCCAGAGCATCTATCTTTCTTGGATGGTGCTGTGCTGCATTTCATATCCAAACTTCCTCCGCCAGATATTATGGACATGTAAGAGCTTAACTTATTTTTCCCGTTTTTAATCACATAATGAAAGGTTAACATTCTGTGTAATCCTGACTTTAATCCTGTTAGATGATCTACCAAGGGTGGTTTTTGAAATTGTACATGAGTCCTGGTATGTAACAACTTGAGAAAACAGGGGATTATCTTCTCCCATTCCTCGGATTTTGAATATTGAAGGAGCTTGAAACACTGTGTATTCGGCTTGGTTCCAGGGGTGGGATTTAGATGTGGGTTGGTCAGATATTTGCCTGAGAATTGAGACATCCTGTTAGGATTTTGGGGCTTGGACTGTGGTGATTGTGGCAGGCTCCATGGCAGAAACCTTTCTTTTTCATTTTTTGGTTTTAAAGAATATGAAGTGCTTTTGTGAAGTATTTTGTTGATATGATAGGGGACTAGCCGTATAGAAGCAGTATCCGGAAGTGCAGGTTCTAGAGGAAATGTGATTTCTTAAAAAGATTACCCAATCTTCATTGTCAATTGGAATCGTGTATCTGCTCCAAAAACTTGCAGAAAATTTAAATGATCCTCACATAGGAGTTTAGCTTCTTCAAAGTTTTGTTTTTTTCTTTCCATATTAGCCGCATGAGTTCCAGAGAAGCCATTTCCATATCTACTCCTTTTCCTCTTGAATTCCCAACTCAGAATAAGTGTATTGGTAGCCGGCATTACCTGGTGCCAAACATGTTCCACGCTGTGTTCCACAATCAGCATGCGATATGACTGTGAAATTGCAAGTGGTTCACATCTTATCCCGACTTCTTGCACCTAAAGCACTAGTAGATGTGAAGTATCTTCTATTTCCTCAAATTTTCAGCTGTTAGAATGGCTAAGGAAAAAGCAAACCTTTTAGGTGCCTATAGGAACCAATACCAAGGAATGGGAAAAAGATGTCCTTCCTTCTCAATAGTCTATGATAAAATGAGTTTATTGGGAACAACATACTTTTTGTCATTCTTTTTCGTAAAAGTTATCATGGTATGTAAATAATGGACAAAGGGTTGAGATAAGAAATCCTCTAAAAAAAGCTTCCCTAGCAACAAAGCATTCTATGGTCGAGACTCTTCCCTCTCTTCTTCTTCCTAAGATTCCACCACACCCATCAAGAGCCAAGTTTGCTGCGTCCGAACCCCAGTAAAGTTCTTCGGCAACCGAGCCCTTACGCGCCGCCAACTCACCTGTTTTTCCGGCGAGATCTCAGCTACGCGCCGGCGCGTGTGGCTTTTTCCGGCGTCTTTTCAATTTTTTTTCTTCAGACAGCCTTTTCTTGAGGCTTTTCCGAGCCTTCCCGTTTCAGTTTCACCAAATTTCGACGACTTTTTCTTTTTCCGGCCATTAAACCCCAGATTCTGGCGATTTATTCCTTTGTTCAGTACGAGAAAATCTTCCTCCCTTCCTATATACTATTTTCACCCACTGTGATTACTGTTATTCCAACTATTAAGGCTTTTTCGGGACAGCTTTTTTGGGACAGCCGCATTTAGAATATGATGGATTGTACAAAGAGCTCTTTCTTCTCTCTAGAATCTAGAAAATTGGAAAACATGTCTTTTATCAAAGCTGTCTCTTGGCCAGCCCTAGAACTTGGGGGAAAGATGCCATCGAAAGCTTGACGTAGGACAGGAGCCGCACTTCTCGCTGTCCGAGGAGCACTCTCAGGCGCAAGGGTTTCTTGGAATCTAGTCTCATTGGGTCTTTCTCCAAATGGGTTGGTTCTCTAGAGGCTGTTAGGAACTGGGCAGCAGAGGCATGGAACGTCAAGGACGGGCTGAAAATATTGCAACTGGGGGATACTCAATATCTCTTTCGTTTTGTTGACAAGTCTCAAGCTTCAGAAATTCTTGTCAGAGGAAACATGTGGTTCGATGGGAACTTCTTAAATCTAGACAGATGGGTGGAGCATGATGGGTGTCTTGACCCTCGCTTCACTGGCGAAACATTGGTGGTCAACATGGTGGGCCTCCCGGTGCATCTTTGGTGTCTTGACCTATTCAAGAAGATAGGGGAAATCTGTGGGGGTTTTATTGATGTCACTTGCAGTTTACACGATCTCTCGCGAGTGAGGATTGTGGTGAGGAAAGGGGGCAGAATCCCTGTCTCCACTGTGGTGGAAGATGGCTACTTGAGTTATAGGGTTTGGTTGAGCCCTGAATTTCTCCATATCTTTATGCCTGTGATAGTGACGGAAAAAAAGAGAAGGTCAAATAGAAGGGAGGGGAGGGGAAATCAGTCTCTGAGTGGAGGGGAGGGCTCACCGGATCACTGGATTAAGCCGGAATCAGACGTTAGATCGAGAAGAGACGGGAGGTTTGAAATTGGGGGAGGAAGACAAAATTTTAACAGGAGGAGAAGACGTGAATGGGTTAGTGATGCGGGCTGGAAAGGCAGAATGGGCCGATCCTCTTCTAATTATCATAGGGCCGGGCAAGTTTTCAGCAAGTATAGGCCTGAGCCTCCTCAAATGGGCCCAACAACTTTTCCCAATTCCATTAGAATTGATCTTAAGGGCCCCAAATTATTTCAAGTTGCGCATGATAAGACTCCTAAGCATATGGGAACAGTCGTTCCTCCTTCTTCTGCCAATGATGCTTCACACAGTGGCACTCCTTCACCGAGCTCTAGTGACCTGTGCCCCTCTACGATGGCCGCTGCTGCAGGGGCAGAACCGGCTAAAGATGGTGCTGTTAATCCACGGCCCCTCGCCTCTGATGGACCCAGTTCCATCAACCCCACCTGCCCCTGGGCTTAGTTGTGCTGAGGTCACACTTGAAGTTTCTTCTTCTTCTGGGGAGATTGTTGAGCATGCCCCAATTGATGTTAGTGTCGGACCAGTACTTTCAGTTAATATGCCGCCAAGGGTTCCATGCTCTCTTCCTCCATGCTACCCTACTGATGGTTCTGGACATTCCTATAGCAGCGGGGTGTTAATTTCAGAGGTTGATGCCCCTCAAGGAAATGGTGAGACCCTTTCGGAGGTTAAAACTCCTAGTGCTAGCAATGCTATGGTCTTGTATTCCTCTGGTAGTAGCAAGGAAAGGGTACATATAGAAGACGCCTGCCCAATTTCGTCACGGATTGGAGGAAGGGATATGTCTTTCTGGATGGAGGATAAACTATTAAACTTTGGGAAGTTTCTAGGTGTTTCTGTTGAAGGGAAGGAAGATAGGGTGTTAGAACTGTTGAGGCAGATTGAGCAACAATCTCGTTATGATGGTGCAGGGAGGGAGTTGGGTAAAGGTGTTAAGCAAAATAACTTAGGGGATGTAGTGGTGTATCAGAGAAGGGGGCGAGTGTGACAGGGAGAAATGGACCTCGGCTAGGGGTGGGGGGTGAGGAAATGGGGGTTATTGTCGCTTATGGAAGTTAAGATCCTTTCATGGAATGTGAGGTGGATGAATGACCTAAACAAAAGGGCCATCATCAAAGTGGGAGTTAGGGAGTGGGGTGCCAACCTAGTTTGTTTTCAGGAGACCAAAATGGAAGTTTTGTCGGATGCGATTGTGAGAAGTGTCTGGGGAGGTAGTTGGGTGAAATATGACTGGGTCCCAGCAGCGGGAAGTGCTGGGGGCATTCTGCTTATGTGGGATGATAGAAGCTTGGAGAGAGATTAGGAAGGGAGTTTTTTCTTTGGCAGCTCTCGTCAAAGATAGAGTGAGTGGGGTGGAGTTGGGATTTGGAGGAGTGTACGGGCCGGTAGGGGAAGGATCCAATGTGTCTTTCTGGGAGGAATTGACCAATATTATAGGGGAATGGGATATTCTATGGGTTTTAGGGGGAGACTTTAACACTATTAGATTCTCGGAGGAGAGATTGGGGTGTAGTTTGATTTCGAGGGCCATGGAGGAGTTTTCAGACTTCATCAATGATCACTTTCTCATTGACCTTCCTCTGTTAGGGGAAAGGTTTACTTGGGCCAGGGCGGGGGATTCCAACTCAAGGTCTAGACTTGACAGATTCCTGACATCTCCCTCATGGGATGAGCTGGTGCCGAATGTGCTGCAGATTCCTTTACCT